ACATTTTATGTTCTTAGAAAATCAAAACTATTTTAAGTGTTATTGTTTGTTTTTTTTAAGCTGTTTATTTATTTTTAACAGAATGAGTGAAAAAACACTCTTATATATACTTAAATATTTAAGAAATATAAAAAATATATTATTAAGTGCCGGTTTTGAAACGCGAGCCAACATGTGTTTTCAAAAAATTAAAAGAATTTTTTGTTAAAAATTAAATTTTTTTGTTTGTTTTAGATCGTTTTGATGCGCTAATTTTAAAAATAATTTTAAAAAAAATATCATTTTGATGCATTTTAATAAGAAAAATATTTTAAAAAATAACCGCAACTACAATCTCAAACAGACACAAATAGTAGATGCAATGATAGTGATATATTAGTATGGGTGAGAAAAAAACTGAAAAACCAATTAAAATGAGAAAAATAAAAAAAACTGAATCATGAAAAAGAAACTAATTAGAAAAATTAAAAAACAATTTGGTTTGGTTCAATTTCAATTTTAAATAGTTGAAACCAAATAAACTAGACAGAACCGAACCGATTCAAATATAAATAAAAAACTTAGACTCAGATAATACTATAAATACCTTTCTTCCATCTACTTTTTAGTTTTTTCTTTTAATTTAGCAAACCTTAGCCACCCCCTTACACAGCTGATTGCTAGAGAGTAAGGAGGAGAGTCCATGGATCAAACAAACCAAAAGTAGCCTTGGAGTACCCCACTTCATCTCTCAATCTGTCTATCCTTCTCTCATCTTCCAGTAAGATTAAATAACAGGAGCCCTAAAGGCCCTCTAAAAAATTCAATCTTAATAGCATCTGCCTAGTGACAAATTATTTATAACACACAAAATATTATCATTGTTAAGATTTTTTTTTAACAAGGGAGACCTAACAAAATGTACAAAATAATTTTTGACTTTTTATTTTATTTTTGTAGATCTATTATATATTTATTTTTCATATTTATTTATGAAATTCCTAATTTGCCATGTATTATAGCGACTATTGTCATCAATGTCGTGAAAAATGAGAATTATTTTTTTCAAATCTTCATTTAATACTTGTTTTTTCTAGTTTTTTTATTTTTAATTTTAGAAAAACTTGCTCAATATACTTGGCTAAGATGAAATTGGTTTTTTCCGGTTTATTTTTTTAATTAACCGAATTTAACTAAACTAAAACGGGTCGGTTTGAACCAGTTTCAGTTCAATTTAAAAAAATTAATTTGGTTATTTTTTAAGTAAAAACCGAACTAAAGTGAAAATACTCACCCTTGTATAGTAGTGGTAATATTGATAATATAATATCTTATAAATAAAAATCACTTTTTTTTTTGTTTTTAAAAATATGTTTAAATCTTTTAAGATTGTTTATAGAAAAAAAAAACTTGAAAAAAAAAACCACACTCGTACAAAAAATAAATAATTGGAGGATTTTTTATCGAACCACGCTTAAATTGATTTTGAGTACATTAATTAGGGAGAAATTACAAACGCGTAGCGGGTTCTATTTTTAGAGCATCAGAGTTCGAAGATTGCGGGAAAGTTTTTGAACAAATTGACCGTACACAAGAAGGTCGTACAACCATTAACAAAAGTGTTGTTGTCCCCTTTCTAACAGCTTCCCTTAACTGAACCCAATTTTCCTGGGAAAATATTCCTTTTCTTTCATTCTTTCGATCTGGTGATTCTTGATTCAGCTATAGAACAATTTTGTTGCCACCTTTTTCCTGGAAATTCCACTAACTATGCGATAATACATTTTACATTGTCATTATCCATTTTGTCTGGTTTTAGAATAGCTTAATTGGTATGTTTTAGATTATCTTTGTTGTTGATGGAGGAAATCTATGGTTTTTGCTGATGTTCTTCAGGGTTGAGTTTGTGGGAATTCTTGGGGATTCAGCCAATTTTCTTCGATTTATCAATAACCTGTAATATGTTCAAGGACTTTGGTTTTTCGGTCTTGGAAGGGGCTATACATTTTCTATTTGTTCCATTTTTATCTGGCAAGTCATATCAATTTGCTTCATATTGATGTAATTCAAGTTTATGTTCCGATAACTTTCTTCTTGTTTTTCAGTTCTTGCTTGAGCATAATATTAAATCTCAACACCCCATTTGCAGATATTTCGAATTTTAATTAGTTTCAGAATGGAGCAGTTTAGGCAGATTGGAGAGGTACTCGGAAGTTTGAAGGCATTGATGGTGTTTCGCGACAATATACAAATCAATCCACGACAATGCTGTCTGTTGCTAGATGTATTCAGTTTTGCATATGATTCAATAGCTGAAGAGATGAGACAAAACCTGAAATTTGAAGAGAAGAACGTGAAATGGAGAATACTTGAACAGCCATTGAGAGAGATTTATGGAATATTCAAAGAGGGAGAAGGTTACATCAAGCAGTGCCTGGAAACCAAGGATTGGTGGGCCAAAGCCATTACCCTCTACCAGAACTCGTATTGCGTTGAGTTTTACATCCATAACTTATTATCATGTATCCCTGTTGTCATTGAATCAATCGAAATTGCTGGAGAATTTTCTGGATTAGATCAGGATGAGATACAGAAGAAGAGACTTGTGTACTCAAACAAATATCAGAAGGAATGGAAAGATCCCCGACTTTTCCAGTGGAAGTTTGCAAAGCAGTATCTTATTTCTCAGGAACTTTGCAATCGGTATAATACAGTTTGGAAAGAAGATAGGTGGGTGCTCCTAAACAAAATCCTGGAAAAGAAGATGTCGGGCTCGACAAAGCAAGAGCGGCAACTTACAGATATTCTATTGAAAAACTTGGAAGGATCGGAGCCAGTGAATGGGAAACTCTTACCATGTTCAATCTTAGTACGGTCCAAGGACTACAGTGTAAGGAGACGCCTTGGGAGTGGGAGTCAGTACAAGGAGATACTATGGCTGGGTGAAAGCCTTGCCTTGAGACACTTTTTTGGAGACATTGAGCCCCTATTTCCTGAGATTTCTTCATTGTTATCCCTTTCCCACCCGAATATATTGCAATTCTTTTGTGGTTTCACTGACGAGGAAAAGAAAGAGTGTTTTCTAGTCATGGAACTAATGACTAGGGACCTCTGCAGCTGCATCAGAGAAACCTGTGGCCCAAGAAAGCGCATTCCATTCTCTCTTCCCATAGCGGTTGATCTTATGCTTCAAATTTCCAGAGGAATGGAATATCTCCACTCAAAGGAAATCTACCATGGTAATTTGAACCCTTCTAACATTCTTGTCAAACCAAGAAACATCACCTCAGAAGGGTACCTGCACGCTAAGGTTTCGGGTTTTGGGCTCTCTTCAATCAAGAACTTCACTCCCAAAAACTCATCAAACCAGAACGAAACGCTCTCATTCATATGGTATGCTCCAGAAATTTTGGAAGAGAAAGAACAGACAGGAAGTGAAAAGAATTCTAAATACACAGAAAAAGCTGATGTGTACAGTTTTGGAATGGTTTGCTTTCAACTTTTGACTGGGAAAGTTCCATTTGAGGATAGCCATCTTCAAGGAGACAACATGAGCCGAAACATCCTAGCTGGAGAGAGGCCTCTATTTCCATTTTATTCACCAAAATATGTTACTAACTTGACAAAGAGATGTTGGCATACAGACCCAAATCAACGTCCAAGCTTCTCATCCATATGTAGGATCCTTCGCTATGTAAAACGCTTCCTTATTATGAACCCTGATTATAATAGAGAACCAGAGACGCCAATGCCAGTGATAGACTACGGAGACATGGAGACGAAGCTCTTAAGGAAATTCCCTTCTTGGGATACAGCAGAATCATCAATGGTAGCACAAATTCCATTTCAAATGTTTGTTTACAGAGTTGTTGAAAAAGAGAAAGCAAGAACAACTCAGAAAGAAACTTCAGAATCAGGGAGCGATAAAGCCTCATATAGTGGGGATGAAAATTCTGCCATCCTAGATGATCCATGCCCATCGCCTTCCTGCCCATCCCCTTCCTGCCCATCTCCTAATGAAAGAAGGTTGTCAATAGCTGAAACTATGGCCAGAAGACCTTCAATATCGAAGAGATTGTCAGATGTGAAAACCATCAAACAATCAGGTAACTCTAGCTTCTTATAATCAGGTCTTTGCTGATTATCTTATGATATGTCACACAATTGTTTATAGACAAGGGTTAAGTTCTGGTTTACTAGCATCCTGTGGTCTGATCATATAGGAACACCAAAAGGCCGTTCAAGACCTCCCCAACTGCAGTGCACGCGTAGTTTAAGGACAGGATCAGAAAGCCAGTTGATGATGATCAGTCCAAGACCCAGAAGAACATCTTCTGGTCATGCATCAGATTCAGAGATCTCCTAGACAGAACATACCGGATAATTGCTTTGTTGGAAGATCAGGTTTAGTATGGCTTTCAAATCATAATAAAAAAAAAAACATATCTGCAGATAAAGCTGAAAAGAAGTCTGTCAGCATAACAGCAGTGTAACTTGCACTGACTGCCCCCCTCTTCGTAGACAGCTAGGAGGATGTGACGAGCGACTTACTATAATCCACAACCTCGCCTCCTGTCTCGGGAATAACTTCATGTAATGACTTTCCTGTGATCCTAGCGGCACATCTTATCAGTTGTAATGAGTGAGCTTCCAATCTCATTTAGCAGCAGAATCATCAATAGAAATCTTACTGACGCTCTATTCATTAGCGGTTTACACAAGTTATATCTCCGTTGGCATAAATGTTAGTTCTCTGAAAATTGAAAAATAACTAGAAATAAAGCAGAAAGTTCAATACACTTCCAGTAGTAAATCCATGCAACAGGGTGGTCTCGTCAAGATAAAATTACAGGTACATGCAAAACTCGATAGGCTGAGTATATTATTAGCATGAACATAATTAAATTAATCGTACTAGACAATAGTCGTATAAAAAACAGGTTGTTTCTTATATAAGCGCCTCACTCAATAAAAGACTGCACACTTGGGCGTATAAATTTACAGTTCCCAGAAGCAATCCATAACAATCAGCCTTTCTCAAATTTCGAGTTTCAATCATTTAACGTCAGTCCAACAGTCAAATGATTACATGAAAATGAACTCCATTAAAATTTCTTATTCAAATTGACCTTCAAAATCAACTTGTTTCAAAGATCTATTTCAATGATTTGAGGACTCGCTCAATCTCTCAGTCGAATAATCTTTTAGTTGGCCTCCGATTTTTTGACGGGATACAGATCAAAACCCTGGTCTTGTAACAGCTACATACATTTCTTGCTGAATTCTTCAGGAGTTTTGAACCCATTAAAATCCGCCACGGGCTTAGCTATAAACTAGTATGATCCGTGCCATTGTTGATTAATGATTGTTTGCGGAGAATATACGAGACAAAGTCACGTCAGTTGAGAACAGCTCCATTTCCAACTCTTTGACCCTTCCAGATTTCAGCTTCCAACTAATACCCCAAGAAGGCACATGGCAGTTTTTGATACTGACATTCAAATAAGAAATGCTCACAAAACAGCAAGTTTCCTGGATGAAAGTAGAACATGCGCACTTTTTCAGCACCTCACACCATCCGTAACACCTTCATATTTCCACTTGAGTTGGCGGCAACAACCATATTCGATTTCCGTCGCCAACACACACTTGAAACAAATTGTCCACTACCATCAACAATCTCGTTTCCAGAGACAGGATCAACACATCCAAATTTGTGAGAAGTAATTGGCATTGGCAGAGATCTATAATAACAATAAACCTGAGAGAGAAAAACAACTGGGAATGGTTAAGATTTCAGATATCCACTCTTTTCATTATTTTATTTTAGTTCTGTCTATATATATATATATATATCTTTTGAGTGTTTACATTCTCCCCCCTTTAATAGGAATTTCGTCCTCGACATTTAAGAGGTTTCATACTGCATACCTGATAGTTCAAATAAATTAGGGTACTTTTTCCTCATCTCAACCTCCCTCTCCCAAGTTTCTTCTTTGAAGAGTTGAAAATATCGACAGAATTCTGGAAAGCAAAGAAAAACGAGAAAGAGTGAAGGATGACATGTACTTCTCCCACAGTTTTCAAAGGAAAGAAATCTTGGAAGTGCTGCAGGACACAGTTTTTCTTATTCAATTATGATTCAATGGCTATCTGATGAGTCATGTGCATAATATGTGATGGATGAAATGCAAACACCCAGTCCATTTCACAAATTTCCTTTGTCTTTCTTCTTCTCATAATTCAATACTTTTGAGGAGGGGCAGATTCGAGCTTAGGACTTCCTCTTTGAAGGAGAGGTGTAGCTACCACTTAGGCCATGCCTCATCCAGGAACAAGGAACATCTTATTCCAACCATGATCTATTTTTAGTGCAGTAAATTTTTAGCGCGTAGTATATCTTCTCTGGGAACTCCGCAAAATCAATCAACACTGGAAAGATGGCTGGCGTATTCCATGGGAGCCAAAATCAGGCAAAAAAGAAAAGCACTGGACCTATCGAAAGGGGTAATATATGCAGAGACAATATATTTTGATACAAAATTATAGAGCCAAATACCCGAACAAAAAATATAATTTCATTATTGGAACGTTTTGACCAGGAATTTCTTCATTTATGATCACCAGGAATCAGAATGGAACCAAGCATGCTTCATATGAGCACAGCCAACTAAGCAGGATCAATCAAATGTAGGGAAGGCTATACCAAAGAACAATCCTATGATAAAACGTATTTTTCAAATTTATGTTTCTGTTTAGATTAAATGGCTTTACCTCGTTGGTTTCTGAACCGCATGCTATGTATCCATCCAGTGCAGACAAACCTACAAAATTCTGAAGCATAATTTTTAACAGTTAGAACTACACAAATAGTAGATGTTCAAACTTACAATACATCAGTACTAGTTATTGCAACCTTTTCGTTAGTGTGACCACCAAAGGTCAAACTGCAAGCACTAGAGGACAGGCCAGTAGAGCTAGTTTTGTTGAGATCCCAAAGCTTCAGAGTATTGTCTGTGGATGCAGAAACAAGGGTCTCTGAATCTAAAAATTTCACGTAGCTAACAGTTTTTCCATGGCCAGGTAATGTGCACCAAGGGATCTTAGTATGCCGAAGATCATAGCAGTAGACCTTATAGTCAGCAGATCCAAAAACCAATAAATTAGTAGAGGAGGGAGAGAACTGAACACAGCAGACGTTGGCAGGGTTCCCAATGGTACCAATAGAACTTCTCTGCAAAATACTTATAGTCAAATTTTTCTGACAGCTTTATAAATGAACATAATCCAAACTTCAATGCAAGAGGATGAGGTGGTTAGAATCAGGGAAGACTGAACAAATCTGAATGCCTGGATTTGATGCCCCAGTCAGCAAAAAGTCAATTTGATAAGCATACACATTATGAAAGAATTATGAAACTAACAATCCAGCCTGTAAGTTTGACCAGGAAAATCTCCCCTGTTGATTCACCAAATTGATAGTTCAGACAGAAAACATTCCTAGACACATGCACTGAGACAGAAAACAACTACTACTTTCTGCTCCCCCATATGTGAACGTGTGGGGTGCACATGGAAAGCTATGAGAAAATAGCTATGCAAGCTGGTGCCATGAAATCGATGATACAATAGGGCCAGACATTGAATGATAGAGGAGAAAACATGCCTCATTAATGCTCCATAGTTTCACAGAACAGTCATCACTTCCACTCACAAACATCATAGGATCAGCCAGAGAGAAATCTACAGACCAAGCCCTCTTTTGGTGCTCTGTGTATTGGGAGAATCTTTGACCAGTGCCTGCATCCCACATCTGAAACCATCCATGCAATTTCACATAATGCCATAAACCATTTATCCATTTATAAAGGGATAAGATGATGAGCATAAAAATACGAACCATGGTATCTTGCATAGCATCCCCAGATGAATACAGTAATTTAAAGGTCAAACAGGTGACAAGACTTTTCATTTTCCATTTACATAAAACCTATATGACAATGATAATAAATATATCCTTAAATTGACTACCAAACAATTGCAGTTGCAGGGCATAAGGGAACGCGTGTTTGAAAATATGCTCCTAATTGTGTAATAATGCTGTAATATATCCCCTACACTTAAGACATGAACTAGCATTATTCTTCTGAAGATGAGGATAACTGGAGCAAAATTATCAAACCAACTCCAAAAACAAATCAAAATTCATGCCTTCCAAGCCAAAATGGTAAATAACTTCAAGTTACAGATTTCACATAGACAATAATCCATGAGGAAAGCATGATATTCATTATTAACAGCGCGATGTGTATTTATCAAAACATGATAAGATATCGTGAAGGATGCAAGAGAAAATTGAATGCTCAACTGGTAAATACTTTTCAAAGACTACAGACCTGAACCACACCATCATAGTCAGTTGAAGCCAAATAGTTCTTAATGTAATTGTTCCAGCAGACAGAACTGATCTTAGATTTGTTTGCCATCTCAACCGTGGGATAATGGATATCTATGGAGTCATTTAAAAGTGCACCAAATTCAAAAACCTTGATTTTCTTTGATACGCCAGCAGCAGCAATATAATCCTCGTCACGATCAAAACTCAAAGTACAAACTACATTTGTGGAGCTCATAAAATCTCCATTTTTGAGTGATCCACACACCTCAAACCTGCTATAACTAGAAAACTTGCAGAGACCTTCAAAAAAGGCTCCAAGGGGATCATCTGATCTCTGATTCGTGTTTGAGTCCTCTCTGTTATACTGAACTGTAGGCAAACTATCTTGGTTCTTGAGCAAATATTTATCAGAGGGAGGGGCAGAAGAAGTATGGCAGATTTGAGATCTCATGGAGAAGTAGGCATTCTTGATTTGGTTAATATTTCTGCTCAACCTTGCCTCATTCTTCTTTGATACTGAAAACGAACTAGAAATAGGAACTGAACCAGGATACAGGTCCTGTTCTCTTGAATCGAGACATCTCTCTTGTGTCTCAGAAACAATTTTGGGTGTTCTCATTAAATGCTTTTTCTCAACCTCTTTGATATCTTCTTCTAAGCATTCAATATCTACAAGCAACTTTGCCTCATGTTTCTGCTTTTGTTCTTTCAATAAGCTTAGAAAATGAAGCAACAGCCCTGGTTCAGTATCATCATTGTCAGGAGCTGTTGATACATTGTTCCTGGAAGATAGTTCCCTGGATCGACATAGTAATTCAGACTGCAGGATTTCCCTGTTGCACACCAAATAGAGGACTTTGAAATGCATCATGTTTAAACATGTTCACATACTAAAACGTACAGAAACTAACCTATCATTATGATGCATCGCAGTTGTTTGACAATCTACATGAAACAGAACGAACAGTATACTGCTGGCAGCTAGAGTTGTATAGGTTATTAAACCAAGAATGAGTAAAAGGCATCGTAATGGAAGGACATGTTTCTTTGGCAGAAATAACAGAATCCACTTTCAAAAAAAGATAGCAAAAACTAGCCCTTGTTGAAGATTAACCAACCCATCAGGCTCCAAAGTAACAATAAATAAAGATTAAAAAGTAACAAATATTGAGCTTTAATCTTCTTCTGAATCATTGAAGTCGGCTATTGAAATAATATTTAATGATTTTTCTTTACATGTGGATTGTGATCATCACAAAAGATCTCATAACTTAAGCTATACCCACTATATCTTGGGTTACATAGGAATAGGAACATAAAAAGCATAAGAAACACATCAGTGATCAATGTAAACAAGCAATTAGATACACAGAGCTTAATTGTTATGAGTAGAGCCCCTTGCTCACTTTAGTTGGCATTCAACTGTAATCATAAGAAGCCCAATAATGCATAGAACTACATGCTGACCTAAGCCACTCTATCCAAATGAATGATCATAGCTGAACTAGAATCTAAGCCACCACTGAAGAAACAGCTCAAGTTCACCATATGGATCCCTATAATTAGTTGCCAATGATGCTCGGTAGATGGCATAAAAGTGGCACCACTACAAAAATACTAAAAAGAAGTGGGTTGGTTTATGCTAGGAACAGGAAGGCTACTAAAGAAAAGGAATACAGAAATACATCTCCACTTCTCTCAGGCATGTTCATAATCACTGATGTTCAATGAATCATGTATTGCAACAATAACGACACAGATCCTTGAAATAATAACACCATTGAGATTGAAGAACATTACAATTTAATAGTTATAGTAGAAGGCAGTAGATAAATCAAATACTGACATGGTTATATACCTAGCTGTTGGACGAGATGAAGGTTCAGGATGAAGAAGCCAAAGACAAAAGCCAGCTTCCCTTGGATTTTCTGAAAGAAAACTTGGTGGTAGAATCCGATCACGCAAATCCAGCATCACCACAGAATTTTCCTCAAATGACTCAAACCAGAGCAACTGCTAGCAACAGAAACATAAGATTGAAAGGATGGGCTTTTGGCTCAACTACTAAGCAGGAGTACTTTTATGTTTGGGAAGTAATTCTTTCCTCATCTATGTAAGAGTATGATGGCAAATATTGCTCAGCAACAATAGATGACAGAATGACTAATTTCTAAACTGAAATAGTTTAAATAAAAGCTCTAACGCATCACAAAAAGGATAAAAGTTACTACATATTCAAAAAACTACTTTCCAAGAGCGTCAAGACTGTGAATCAGTTTTAGTTGAGCTATTATTCTCAGGCATGCTAAAAAAATCATAAATTTGATTTAGTGTGCTAAGCAGCAAGACACATAATTGATTTCAATAACAGCATGCGAAGTTAAAATCCAGATCTTGTCACCTCAAAAAGCAGGACCCCTAGGTTATAGATATTTGATGAAAAGGTGTTAGGTCCTCCATTCAGCAGTTCTGGACTTCTATACCATTTTTCTTCCAATTGTAAAGTTAAAGACAAAGACAGTTGCCTCGTTTCCATCCATGAACTTTGGTAATTAGAATGCTTCTGAGACTGAAGTTCCATAAATCTAGAGTCTTGTGCACCAGTTTCATGAAAATTATTTCCATCCATTGCCTTTGTCCCAGACCCAGAACTAGAGCTATACCGAGACTGCCGTTGAAGTGATTTTGTTTCTTCAACCATTCTTTGCTTCTTTGGAACTAAACTACAGTAGGAACTCGCAACTTGCTCCAGTGGCCTTTTCTTAACAAAAGCACAGGGTATAGGAACCCCTTGTTCGATCTTGGTAAAAGAACCAGTGTAAATGACCCGATTTGATGGCAATAAATTAAAACAGGATGGACGTAAGTCTTGAAAGGCAACTCCTTGAGAGTGTGCTAAATCCACCAACTCCACAGTTTGCTTAAATATCAGCAGGCTTTCAACTTTATCTCTTCGACAATGCCCAAGTTTCAGCCACTCTCTCAAACTGATCCCTTCATGCAAGGATTCAGGACAAGACCTATCAACCCTATTTTTATCGTTATTGGAACTTGACCTCACTAGTGCATCAGAAGCAACTTTCCTTGCATAATCCAGTTTTCCATCAATAGGACCAGCATCTGCAACCCCACATTCAGGGAGAGCTTCTTGGTTTCTGCAGAGAACACCCTTTCCTTTCAAGACTTTCTTCAGCGGTGGCTGAGAAAAGCCGGGCATGGATGAGGTCTCCCCATTGGGCAGTATAATGCTAGATACAACCCTCTTGTCACTAGCCCTCGAATGTGGAGAAATTGCTTTGCTGTCATGACCAATTTGCTTCGTCAACAAAGGTTTCAAGCCACTCCATAGATCAGAACGCATTGTCATCAACTGCTTTCCAGCTCTTGATAGCAGTTTTTCCTTGTCTTCGTGCACATAATCACCGTGTGAGGCCTTATCTCTTGATCCATTTACTAATTGATATATATTTTGCCATCTGTGTTGCCTGTTACTGTCTACGCTTCGACCTAAAGCTTGATGTGAAGTCCAATAGTTTCCCGCTGTCAATTTTTCAACCACATGCTCACTATCCTTCACAGAGCTAAGGATACTGCAAGGGGGTTCAGCTTCCGCCAAAGTTATTGCACTTCTACTTAAGTCCTTTTCCTCCATTCTGCTTGTATCCATATAATCAGTGGTGGAGCTCTCCGCCCAATCACTCCTCATGGATGCACACATTATTGGTGATCCCAAAGCATTGCGAGGTTCTAGCGTCAAGGGATCATAGCCTTTTGCTTGAAGGTCTGCTTTCCCATGTACATCATTTGCAACCAGCTCCTCTGCGACTTGGTCCATACTGTGAAAAAACAAGTTTCATTAAACAAAGAGTGTACAATTTCGCTGCATAGATAACGTATGTTAATATTACAAAACCACACAAAGATGATGGACGCGTACTTGATTTTGTTTTTCATGGAAAAATAACACTGTGATAGGAATCTCAAAAAACAATCGAATCACTCAAACAAATCAAACATGAAGTGATCACAGCTCAATCCTAAACTCCAAATTCATCACTTGGTCACATGCAGACTTTAAAAGTGAAATTAGGTCATCAATTGTGCACCCAAAAAGAGTAGTACCCTGCAATTCAATTCACAAACAGAAGCCAAAAAAAAAAAGTGCTACTCAAGAACACCAAACTAGAACTTAGAATAAAAGCCCTATAATCTTCACAATTAGGTAACATCATGCTTAGACACATTAGCTTACACCACGAACACTTCCAATTCTGCATAAGCAGAATAAAATACTCTAATAAGAAGTTTTGGATTTCAAAAAATCTTACAAAATAAGAAGAAGAAGAAAGAAACATTCCAGAATTTTTCTGTGCAACATCAAAATTAAAACTGTTAACCTTAAAGCAACCAAATTCCAGCAAGCAATAAATAAAAAAAAAATCCGATTTACCAACGAAAGAGGCAAAAGATTTCAGTCTTAAAAAAATGCCAACACTAGAGAACTGTGGAGAGGTGGACTTACCTGATACGAAACGTAAATATCTTCCAATACAAGAATATGAGGGAATTTCACCGTTTTTTCTACGTCATAGGGAGATTCTAAATAACAATATCCAGAACTAGAACAACCATAATTAAATTCTCATTAATTAAAGTTTATAAGCAAAAATAATATATATATATATATATATAGAAAATAACATATGAAAACATTAATTAATTAAGATTATGTGAATAGCACTATACAGTGAATAAATATTAGATATTTTATTCGAAGAATCTCTCTCGTTTCAAATTCTCTGGCCAATATTTTTTTGAACTTTTTTATTAATATTTGTAGTAATAATAATAATATAGTATAGTATAGCATACACAGACAGGTGGATTTCTATATGGATTCTGGTTTGTTTAGATTGTCGCTAAGTTAAGTTCCCAGCCAATTAGCTCTTTTATTATATGTTACTCAGATATTGTTAATATTTTTTTATTCACTCGTTTGGATTTCTTTTTATGTTTTTAGTTAACGCTCCGATGTTACCGATTATTTACTTAACATGCCATTGCGACAAGTGAGAGAGAGTGTTTCTTGTAATTTCTGTAAAAGAGAGTGGCATTAGCTATGCATATGCGATTTTCCGTGCTTTTAACGTGAGGTAGTTAGCGACAACACGTCTACAGGATTGGAAGAGAACTAGTGGCACACATTTTGCGAGGTAGGGCCTTCATGTCGTGGGCCCTACTTAGCGGCTCGCACGTGCCACCAGTTTCCCTTGGCGGACACAAAACGTGGGCTTTCACTACGCCGCTCTTCTGATCGATCAATGATCGGACCTTAACAGAGCACTAAGGTCTAGTTCTGGACTGAACTCGTGAATCCTGTCGGCTGTAGTAAATTGCAAACGGCTCAGCCCATTTGTGGTTCAAGACCAGACTTCAAAGAGCCATTTGGGTTCTCCCTATTAATAGAATCCATTATTTCTAAGCCGCCTTCCTAAAAAGACATTGATGAAACATTCCTCTCATGTGCAGGCATGGCGGAAGAATTTGAGAAAGGTATCAGGAGCAATGAGAGTGACAAAATCCGCCAGGAACAATGAAATAAACACCCTCCTGGGTTCTTCACGCTAAACAATTGTTACGGTTCCCCTGGTATTGCTGTCAAGCGTTACTTCAATAGCCGTCAACTTATCATAAATCAATAACATGCCGGATTCTTATCCTAGCAGGTGTAGGCGACATGCATACGTATGCGCCCAGGTTTTTTAACGGGAAAGGCATCTGCTTAGACATGATCACGAGCTGTTAGGGATCTGGCTTAACATAATCAGCACAACTATGATTTTGCACAACGATTGCATATCCAAATTCAATGTGAACCCAGTAATTTTTTAAAATCATAATGTATCTAATATTCCGCAAAACATCATCAATCCTATTGATATGATTATACGGTCCACAACAAAACGAAATTGGAAAAATAAAATCTCACGAAAATTTAATAATAATACAAGAAACATTTTAATCTAGGCACAAAAAAGCACCTCTTGAGCAAGTCCTAGGTGCACAAGGCGCATGCTTGAGTGCATGTAGGTGAAGGAGCTTTGCCTAGGATAACACAGCACTTTGATTTTTGCACCTTAAGCTTAAGGCACGCTGTTAGCAAACCAGACATAACGCAAGTACAGTTTTAGCATTGTTTGAGGATCGTTGCCATCCATGCATGCACACAAAAGATAAGGGGGAGTTCAATTAATAGCCAGTGAGTGCAGAGCAAGTCTCAGAAGATGCTTTCAGCTCTTATGAAGAGGCGTACAATTGAAAATCGTGAGTTGTCCCATCAACATGCTTTATTGACACATCATATGAATGAGAAGCTCAAGGCTAAGCTTGTTCTCAAGGAAACAAAGAAAGGAAACGAGGGAAAATGATACATAAATAAACACAGGCTCAGACATGTTTCTAAACTCGCTTGTTTGTAAGAGAGCTGGAAAAAAATTTCCTAGTTTACCTTCTCTGTGTGCCCTTGCCTACAAAAATACCACACTGGTTCAACAAATAACAGGCAGGACCACAAGACTTCAGTCTGATATTCTGATTTCAACTCCTAAAATGTCTTTCACCATCTCATATGTCACAAATGCAATTGCTATAGATGGGACTACCTGAAAAGGAAAGAAGAAAATAAATGGAATGCGATCTCTTATAAAATTTGTAGAAAAAAAATAGCAATAAATGCACAGAACAAAGCTGCATTGAACTCAAAGAAGATTAAAAATATCTAAACTATGCCTGTTCTAGGATTGATTTAAATAGCTTAACTAAATGCGTAAAAATGTCATTCAGAATTCCACTAAAATGTTTGCAAAACAGAGGTATTAATTGATATGGTTATCATTGTCACTTATGCTACTAATCACTATGGTGGCAATTACTCTGCTTATCAAGGCATTCAGACATAAATCCTTATTTAGCAGGATCAAAGCAAATCAGTTACTCCAGAACCAACCAACCAATCCTAATTTGCAAAACAAAAAAATGTGGAGGGTTGCGATTCATGATTCGGCAGCCCCACAACAACTCCATATAATAGAGCATGAAAAGAATTTTAGATGCTTGACACTGATTCTCAAGATACCAAGATTTGTGAGAGGGGAAAATGCCACAAGATAACATGAAAGCCCTATGCAACTAACGGACAACATTGGCTGTCTTCCCATCCTTGCTAAATCCTTCTTTTAGGAAACGATGATCAGGAAAATTTAAGGCAATCCTGAAAGTTATATACAAATGAAACACTGAAAATAGAATGTCTCACCTTCACTGAATTGGGTACCAAACCCTTGTATAATGCTCCAAAGCCCTCATGCCGAACAGTTTTCCTGAATGTGTCAATCATACCATTATACTCAAGTGGGGCCTTGCTCCTCCCATCACCAGTGACAATGGAAGCAGCATCTTTCCATCCCACCATTTGCATCCGTCGGCGAATAACATCAAGAGGATAAGCAACAGTTTGGCCAATGGTCCCCGCAGCAGCCCCACAAGCTAGCCTTGTAGTTACACTCAATTCAGAATCTTCCACTAGTCCAAATGGTCTAGCTTTAACCAACCAATCCTTTAGAGATTCATACACTGCAAAGTTGAGACCCACATATGGAACCTGCCAACAAGCATCACAAGTAAAGGGTTACAGCCAGCAAACTGAGGGAAACCAAGTTGATCCTCAGGTCACATAAGAGTTCTGATGAGTGATATTAACAGTACCAGCAAAGATGACATTACTTATTTAATATCAAAGAAACGGGAGAATGGGGGCTGTCTTCCCACATATCACCAAACAACATAAGAACACAATGCTAAATGCATGGGATTAAGCCCTAAAGATCCTTTGAAAAATATAAGAGAAATGAAAGAGAGAAGGGGAGAGTGAAGCCAAAGCATACATCATAGTTGCACAAGTAAAACTTGATCTTAGCAACACATAGCTCCCACATTCTCTCATCTAGTGCTAATAATACCAGATATAAAGAAGATTGCATACTTAAATCATCAAATCAAGAGACTCAAAATAGTCTTTCCATCTAAGTGTGAAATACAAATATCTATGGTATATGCAGGCATATAAATCATGATAGATAAAGCAATGTCTTTACTTTCCAACTTTAGAAAAAGAAAAGAAGATACCAGATCATCAGTTGCATGAAATTAACATATATGTGAGCCAAGATATGATAAAAAAGAAACCTTAAAAGGGTATCTTTTTAGAACTAAAACCTCAAAAGAGCAAGCATTTTATGAGGAATGACAACATAAGAGAGAAAGAAACTCTACAATAGAATAATAGAAATGATCTGTCAAAAAGGATAACCAAGAAAAGGGTGCTGGCTATTATAGAAAAAGATCTCAAATAACATCTCCTTGCTAGCCAGCAGTAACACAATCATCCAAGGGAACAAAAATTCTACTGGGAAGATAATAGTACATAATCTATCAAAACAACCAATGGATGGCCTTTTCTCTATCTCACTCGATGCTATCCTCACAGATTGAGAATGCTAATATGCAGTGTTATTTGGCAACTAATGACTTACAACTCCAATGACAGAAGGAAGCCAGCCCTTGTACAGAGCCCGTGGGCCTTCTTGCCGGAGCACGGTTGAAAGTGCGTGAAACATTCCTCTGTATTGATAAGGAGATTTATCAGTCTGCAAAGACGAGACAATGAAAAAATAAAACCTTATGTAGCAAACCCGATGCAGAGAACCCCAAATAGTCACAGAAAATAGTAGGGCAAGTAAAAAAAAATGAGTTTTCATTTGTTCCAATAAATTATTTTATTGGCATAAATTTATTTCCATGCCTTATTACATAGATATAAAATGTTTTCCTGTGGCTTGAAATCAAAGTAAAATATTTTTTAGCATATACAAGAAAAGGAAAAATCCTTCGCCCAGGGCTTTTCCAATGGAACCTCGGTGGTCATACCTGTACAGTTAGCCTGCCTCGTACCATATCCATGGGATAAGTTGCAGACATGGCTATAATTCCTGCACATGCTCCAGCTCCAAGGCGTAAAAGAGGAGTGAGCTGAGCATCCTCTGCAGGAACAACAAGGGAAGGTCTCAGATAGCTCACATTTTCTCTATTGAGTGGCATATGTGTGAGAATACCAACAGAAAAACAGAGATGAAAGATGACTTCTATATTTAAATTCACTAATAAGGCAAACCAAATCTCCGAACTCTGTTTTTCATTACATTGATCTGAAACTAGATGGACATGTAAAGGAACTATATTTTATTAGTAACGATTAATGAACAATATAATCCTGGAAGGCTGCCTAATCTGAATAAAAAATTTCTGGCCCGATATAAAACTTCAGAAAATATCTGTTGACTGTAATGTAAATGCACAAAGAATATCTAAAACAAAGTGATGGATGACAAAGATTAACATACCGTTGCCAGTTTGCTGTTGATAGAGAGACAATATTGCCCTGACATAAAGTATAGAGGACCCATCAGCATAAGAAAAAAACTCCACAAGTGGATTTCGCATAAATTAAGAATCATGATCGGAGGTGATTTCAAATGTTTGAAGAATGAGATGCAGGTTAACGCCTGGAACAAGCAGTATGGTGTAACTGTTAGAAACTAAAAATCCCATAGCAA